TGCTTCGTAACGATTTCTCCTCCAAATACGGCTTGATCTTTTGTCCGTTCACGACAAATAATTCACCGGTAGATGGGTTCCGAAGTCGGACGGCCCCGAAAGACAATACTTCATCAACAAGAAACGGGCCACTCCACCGGGACTTAAGTTTTCCCGGAAATAGACGAAGTAGGGAACTAAAGAGGAGCACTTGCATGTCCGGTACCAACTCCTTCCGAACAATCCGAGCGTCGTGGAGTCGTTTGATCTTATCCTTGTAAATCTTCGAATTTTCATATGCCTCGTTCCTCAATTCTTCGAGTTCCGAGAGTTGCAAAATTCGCCCTCTTCCGGCGGTATCAAGATAAAAGTTCATTTTCTTTATTGCCCAAAACGCCTTGTGCTCGATCTCAACCGGGAGGTGGCACGCTTTTCTGTAGACGAGCCGAAACGGACTCATTCCCAAAACTCCTTCGTGCGCTGTCCGTTGGGCCCACAATGCATCGTCAAGTCGACTCCACCAATCCTTCAGGGACGAGTTCACTGTTTTCTCCAAAATAGTCTTGATTTGTCGGTTGCTCGTCTCGGCCTGGCCCGACGTCTGTGGATGGTATGGGGTAGCCACCTTGTGTGAAATGCCATACTGCTTCATCAGCTTCTCGAAAATACGGTTGCAAAAATTCCTCCCACCATCACTCACAATAGCCTGAGGAAATCTGAACCTGCTTAGAATATGTCCTCGCAAAAACTTGATGACCACATTAGCATCACATGTCCTCGTGGGGATTGCCTCAACCCATTTGGACACGTAATCTACAGAAAGTAATATATATTCAAAACCACAAGATTTGGGAAATGGTCCCATAAAATCAATGCCCCAAACATCAAAAATTTCAATCTGAAGGTTGTTCACAAGGGGCATCTCATTTTTGGAACCAATGTTCCCAATTCGTTGACATCGGTCACAAGATTTGCAAAAAACGTGAGCGTCTTTAAACAAGGTCGGCCAGAACAGACCTAACTGGAGAACTTTGAAAGCAGTCTTTCGACCACTAAAATGTCCCCCACACTGAAGCTCATGGCAGAAGGTCAGGACTCCCAGTTGCTCGTCATCGGGCACACATCTCCTAAGTAATTCATCTTTTCCGATCTTAAACAGAAAGGGCTCGTCCCAGAAGTAGCTCCTGCAATTTAAAACAAAACGTTTCCTCTCTTGGGAAGAGAAGTTAGGCTGCACAATACCACAAGACAAATAGTTCACAATATCCGCATACCAAGGGCTAAGTCACTTCATTCGCATGCTCGTATGGAAAATTATCATTAATAGCATGATGCTCAAGCAAGGAATGAGAATGATCAGCTGGTATAATGCGGGACAAATGATCAGCTACAACGTTTTCGGACCATTTTCTCTCCCGAATATCAACATCAAACTCTTGCAACAATAAAATCCATCGAATAAGCCTCGGCTTTGATTGAGTTTTATTCAACAGATACTTTAAGGCTGCATGGTCTGAATGTATTATCACTTTAGACCCTAAAATGTAGGATCTAAATTTTTCAAGAGAGAAAACCACGGCTAGAAGTTCTTTTCCGGTGGTCGTATAGTTTAGTTGGGCTCCATTAAGGGTCAAACTAGTATAATAAATCACTCGAAGTAATTTATCGACTCGTTGACCTAAAACGGCTCCCACGGCATGATTTGATGCATCACACATAATCTCAAAAGGCAAAGACCAGTCAGGAGCAATCACAACAGGAGCAGTCACAAGCTTATTTTTCAAATCATTGAAAGCATTCAAACAAGCATTATCAAAATTGAAAGACACATCTTGACTAAGCAAGTGACACAACGGCTGGCTAATTTTTTAAAATTCTTTTATAAATCTCCTATAGAAACCAGCATGCCCTAAAAAACTCCTAACGTCTTTCACATTCACCGGAGGGGGAAGTTTTTCAATAACATCAACTTTTGCTTTATCAACTTCAATTCCCCTCCTCGACACCAAATGGCCTAGTACAATTCCACTCTTAACCATAAAATGACTCTTTTTCCAGCTCAAAGTTAAATTTGATTTGATGCAACGTTCAAGGACACGAGATAAGTTATGGAGACAGTGAGAAGATGAATCACCAAAGATAGA